ATACCTATACTCTACGGTACCAACATTCATTACTGTTATGTATATTATACCTATACTGTACGGTACCAACGTTCATTACTGTTATTTATATTATACCTATACTGTACGGTACCAACGTTCATTACTGTTATTTATATTATACCTATACTGTACTGTACCAACGTTCATTATTGTTATGTATATTATACCTATACTGTACGGTACCAACGTTCATTACTGTTATGTATATTATACCTATACTGTGGACGGTACCAACGTTCATTACTGTTATTTATATTATACCTGCACAGAATCGATTTGAATCAACATTTACTAACTGTTGTTTTATGTTAAATCCAATTGAGAGAGGGTTTATTTGAAGTTAAGCACAAAGCTACACAATGGGTTATCGAAACCCGGTTTCTAGCGTTGTAAGTCCGCTGTGCCACTGGGGGGCTTGTGAGAGGGAAGTCGGTTTGTTCATATCCCCAGTAACTGAGTCAGAGTTAAGTGAAAGAACATGGAAGTCATAAACAAATTACTCTTTTTATCTTCATCGTAACAAACAAACAAGATTGTTCACAAGGTCGGAGAAGGCTGTATTTACAATGATAATAAAAACTGGCTGACTTCGACACGTTTTTCTTGGATATTAGACAGACAAAACAATACTGTGTTTAGAACGGACACTCACGAACGAAAACTGGAATCTTTTAAAGTTCTAGATCTAATGTTTTGATTGAAAGTGGTATTGCACGATATCAAAGAGTAAAACAAGCTGGTGGAGCATTAAAAACCTGTAATCCGGCTTCGCTAAAAAAGGAACATACATGGAGTTGCTATTTAGTTGAAAGATAACATACCGGTAAGTTAAGTGAGTCAGGTGAACAACGCCCTCTTCCAGCAAGAGAAAAAAAAGACATCCATGCGAAGATACTCCTAGTTTATGGCATATCGCTTCTTTCTTCCCTAAGCTTCTCGTGACAGCATGTCATGATTTCTTTGATTTACTTTTGTTTCCAACGCTAAAAATCCAGGATTCGATTCCTCATGGTGGACAGATCGCAGATAGCTCAGCGTGTACCTTTTCGCTAAATACTGCAAACAAACAAATAGAACAGCTTTAAATAGGGACCGTGAAGCTGGATCTAAAGCTCCATACTGTAGAAAGCAGGATCCCTCTCGAAGGTGAAACATTGGTGGTGAATTTAATAAACATATAATTTTCGAGCAATTGGACAGTTTTATAATCTGTCAGTGAACTTGATATACTCTGATCAATAAACTTAGTTATTTTAACCATTTCATAAACGGGGTAAGTTTGATTTATAAATGGTTCGTGAGATTCTCTCAGTAAGGCTTGATAAATAGGGGTCACTTTATTCAGAACTCTGTAACAATACGCGTGTCTTTAAACTTCACGCGATGGTAAACGTCACATTCTACCGAGTAGAAATAGCACCCAAGATGACGAGTCATTAAATCATTATTCAATAAAAGTAAAACTTCACTGTCTTAAAATTACCATACAACAAGAGAAAAATTATCGTCTCTAAAATCTGCATTTTTTACACCAGTGACTGTTTTTGTTTCTGTAAGGGTTTGTTTAGTCAGGCCCTAAATATGGAATTCAATACCTGAACATTCTCAGTGGTTAGATCATTATGAATCCACACAGCCACAGTAGACTAACAAAGCTGTTGATATATTAAGCATATACTAATGTAAATATTTGTTATTAAAATATAATGCATTCAATCTTATTCTTGTCAAAAATTTATTTCAATATATATCCGATAAATGTGTACATATACTTTTACTCTGCACGATACGTGACATTATTATATGAATGAAATTTTAATTTACCTTTATTTTATATACATAACTATATATATGTATCTAATGCTGATCAACATTATTATAATTTAAACTAACAATAATGGCGAAAAAATCGTTCGTAAATGTAAATAATAATAATAATTATAAATTATAATAATCAAATTACTAGCTAGAGTAGGGAATTTAAATGTATTACTGGAGCACTGCTGCCCTCTTAAGTGAGAATTTGTTACTAAAGTTGGATGAATCATACCTTTCAGACAAAATGCATTATAAACAAGTTTTTGAACAATAAATAGTACTAATTGCTTAGGCTAGATGGCACTACAAGCGAAATTTTGAAAAAAAAATAATTTGTGCTAACTGCTAAGACCAGATCCGCATCTGCTCATACGCTCCTACCCATTTCTTTGTGCAAACAGTTCTCTTAGCACGATAGCTGCTGCATAATAAATTATTTATAAATAAAATTAAATTTTCAAGAGATGCCAAGGAGCAGTCACAGTGTCCCAACCTCATATGTCGTAAGAGAAATTTGGCTTTGAAACATAATTGTCTGTGACCCACCTGTGTGTCACGCGGCCCATAATTAAAAGTCGGTTTTGATCCACCGGTTGGGCACTTGCCAGCGAACGTGTTAATATTGCGCTAACATTATCTGGTGACTTTAGACTGTAGAGCACCTTCAGTCCGCCAAAAAAAGTACGTTCTATCTGGCAATAGTCATTTTCCAATTCTAAAGCACACCATTCATCTCAGCATGTTTTCCATCATCCATGTAGAATAAGAAGACGACAGCGTCTGTTAAAAAAAGTACGTTCTATCTGGCAATAGTCATTTTCCAATTCTGAAACACACCACTCATCTCAGCATGTTTTCCATAATCCATCTAGAATAAGAAGACAAAAAGTGTCTGTTTCAACAGCCCGATTGCACAGAAATCTGTAGGCACTACATCCGGCTACTTGACAGTATTTCTACGTATTGAATACAGATATACAGATCGCTACTCTTCACTGATGCACACCATGTTCTTCACTTGGTAACTAGCTCCACGAGTGCACAACGCGTGAACTTTCTCGTGTACATACATCAGTGTTGCTTAGTACCATGACGTTTACTACACTGATATAAATATTACATTTATTTTCTGAACAACTCTTGTACATCCTCGTGCAAATAAATATTATTATTTCATAGAGAAGCATAAGCTTTAATAGTGGGAGAATCTATATAATGACTTGAAATTCTACCTTTTCTAGAACTTATAAGGGTTCCACCTGGTTGATAATCGACAATCAAAGAATATCATAAAATGTCACAAACTGAGAGCAAGGTCTTAATCGAATTTTTCAGAATTTTTGTCTAAGCAGATAAATGCTATATAGGACTAGTTGTTGAATACAGTTAGTAGGATATTTCCTACCAGAAAAGCTGAGAACCCAATTTAATTTCTACATCCAGCAATGAAGAAAAGCTTTAACCAAAAATATTTGATGAAAAATGGAAACATGCTTAAAGTTTGGCCAAATATCAATGGTTATGCTTCAAACAAGTGAAATGGAAATGGACTGATAAAAAAGTCACTGATACAACCATCCTTATTTTGATTAAAACTTGAAATTTGCACCGAGGATACTCGCTTGAAAGACATAAACAAAAACACAACATATCTTTTAGATAAACAGCAGCAAGTATACAGATAGATCGAAAACTTAGGCAGATTCAATAGTCAGATAGACAGATGGAAATATTAGGCAGACTCAATAGTCAGACGTATAGATGAAAATTGGCTAGATTTAATAGTCAAACAGATAGATTAAAAACTAGTCAGGTTCAATAGTCAGACATATAGATGAACATTGGCTAGAGTTAATAGTCAAACAAAGAGATTGAAACTAGTCAGGTTCAATAGTCAGACATATAGATGAACATTGGCTAGAGTTAATAGTCAAACAAAGAGATTGAAACTAGGCAGCTTCAATAGTCAGATATATAGGTGAACATTGGCTAGAGTTAATAGTCAAGCAAAGAGGTTGGAACTAGACAGCTTCCAT